GAAGTGCACTGAGCAGAATTCAGAATGATATTCTTCCATTGGCAGATATGATATGAGATTAAATGAAGAACTGGGGATTCATATAGTCGAACCCCAACTTGTTTGGACTGAGGCATAGTTGTTGTTATTCTTCCATTGGCAAAGCATGTCATTATATATTGTATCCTGCTGTGTTATCTGTAGTATGAGTTTTGATCACTGTATACTTCACGGAAGCTCTCGTTGAAGTCTATACCTTCTGTAATTAGTTTCGAGCTTCAGTTGGTATGAATTTTATGGTTTTTCATTTCAGGCAGTTGAAGCTACCCAAAATGTGGAACTTGGTAACAAAGAACTGTCACAAGCCATTCAACGGAACAGCAGTAGCAGAACTTTTCTTTTGCTCTTTCTGTTTGTACTTACATTTTCAATCCTCTTCCTAGATTGGTACAGTTAATTCTCAGTTTTTTGCACTATTTTTGATCTTACAATTAACAGGAGTATAGAGCCTATTTCGTCAACTAAAGGTGTGTATCGTTACTAGAAGACATAATACATACACGTGTTTTTTCGTCTTAGTTGACATCTACGTCTCCCAACTTTGAGTGTGTACATGTACACATTTAAATTTATATAAAGTTGATTAAGTAGACAGATGTATCTTACATGACATTACTCAATTTTTTTTGTAGGGTATACATATATATTTTTGTGTCCGACAAGTTATGTTGAAGTTTGGCCGTAAAGAATTTATACTTCATTAGGCATAAGTTCGATTGCTAAAGGATAAAAATTAAATATCAATTTATTTGAAGAGGATTGTGCAATTTCAATGAATAAAACTACTCAATTTTAAATTGTACAGAGACTAGATAAATTTAGAGCTCGTTTGGATTGACTTTAAAAAAGTAGCTTTTAAGTAAAAAATAAATAAAAAGTGGGGAAGACCTACTTTTGGTTTTAAACTTTTTTTCAAGTCATTTAAAACTTATTTTAAGTTATTTTTAACCTTATCAAACACTTCCAAAAGTTAAAAATGATTAAAAATAGATTTGACCAATTTTTAAGCTAATCCAAACAGACTCTTAACCATTTTTTCCAAAAATAAAAATAAAAATAAGGATTGGATACCCACCAATAAATATCTTTATTTCATTTGTTTTCTAGAAAACAGAGATACAAAAGATGAAGAGAGGGGATAACATGCATGCAAATAAAAGAAGAACAATGTTAGGCAAGACTCCTAAAACAATATGATTGCAAATATGCAACAAAAAAAAAAAAAAAACTAAAGACAGTATTGACCCCTTTAGTTGAGGGAGTATAATTGCTATTTTAAATGCTTAAAAAGGAAAATCCTCATTCTCCATAGTTGCCTTCTTGGTGGAATTACAAATGATGGTGTTTCCCCTATAAAACAAGAGGCCAGCAAAAATAAAATACAAAGTTGAGGAAGATAAGAGTAAAGAAATGTTGAGTAAGAAATCCAACTAACATAGGTCGTGATGAAATGATTGGGATCCTTCAACCTTAACAAGAAATCTCGAATTGGTACGTCGCCCATAAAAATAAGTCATACCATTCGTTAATTTAAATTAAATCGAATCCCAATAAATAGTGGAAACACAAAAAGAGAGAGAGAAAGGGGAAGAAATCCAAATTTTTTTCCTCTTAATAATTGAAAATCTTTTAAGTCAATGCTATAGAAATTTGATGAATAATAATATGTCCGTCTTCTTATCCTATTCTACTTAAATATTACTCCACTATCTTTTATCTATAAAAAAAGTTTGAATTCATAATGTGCGTCTAGTTTAGCTATCACGTCTTACACTTTTACATAAAACTAAACCAAAGTCTATATAGCGAAGTCTAAGTTTAAGTCAGTTCTTTTTCTTTCTTTTTTTCTTGGTATTGAGGTAAAATAACTGAGAATCAAAATATCACAAATAAAATAATTATTCAAATAGTCAATTAACTGAACTACAAAGATTTTCACTTCAATCCATAACTTTTCAAATGAAGATTGAATGAATTCTTTTTGGAGATTAGACATAGTGAAAGTAATGAGACATCATATCATGCATGCCTGTATTTCTTTTACTAGCAATTTGGTTATATCTGTTTTATTTATCCACCACTAGAAACACCATTGATATTATTATTTTTTTTCCTTTTTGTGGAATTCTCATTCTGGGGAAAGTTAAAAGCACACCTTCTTCAAGTGGGGTACCTCTACTTATGGGTGAAAGTCTTGGTCCAGTAATACTCTCTCTGTCCACTTTTAATTGTTATGATTTTTATTTTTAGAGTCAAACGATAACAAAATTAACTAATATTTTACAATATATTTGTCATCACATTGTTATGTAAAATATTATAATTTATAGTACTTCCCGTACAGTTTTTGAATATCTAAATTTTTTATTTAAAATATCAAATTAATATAATTTAATTGAACTTTAAAAATTAATCAAATTGACTTTAAAAAAGCATAACATGACAAATAAAGTAGACGGAGGGAATATCATTTGATTACCTAGGGGATATTTTTTCTTTTCTAAACATAATACTGATAACTTTTTAAATTTATTACTATAGTATATTTTATTTTTGATGTTTAAATTATTACATGTTTTAATGGAGTATTTAAAAACATAATAATATGTTTCTATTAAATACTTTATATTCAATTATATTTTAAAAAATATATGTATTCTTAATTATTTATTATGTAGATAAATTAATTATATATGAAATGTCACCTTCTTTAATTATATACATTAGCCTCAATAGGGATATGTATATAATTTTATAACTTATTGAGAACAACTTGTATAATTAAAAGAACTAATAGATTTTAAATAGTTAACTTATCTATGTAATAAACATTTGAGGATGAAAGAGAACACATATATGATCTTTTTTTCAGTAAAATTGAAGTCGAAAGTCTCTAACTAAAAGAATTATTTTATCATATATTTATGTATTCAATCAAAATATAAAATCATAGTACGATTGTCTAAATAAAATATTCTACTAAGTTTAAGGGATTATTAATGCATCATCTTTTATTTTATTTTATGTTTACTATAGCAATGATGAGTCTTTAATAACAAGAATGGACTTGAGTTTGTTATTACTTCATCAACTAATTCTAATTATAGTGTGGTAAAAACAATGAAAATGTCATGTCATTTCTTAATCTTGTAACAAATCATTATTAAGATTGTTAATACTTTATCAAGCATGTGTATTAATTACCAATGGATTAGACTTGATCCATATATATAATTATTCTCAAATGCCCATGCTTCCTTTTAGAGCTAAAATCTCATAATTTCATCTGTCTTTTCGAAACATCAAATGTCTTTTGCAACCTGCAACACTAGTAATTATTATTCTTGAGAGAGCAAACTACACTTGTTCTTTCTGTATAATACTCCTTCCGTTTTTTTAAAAAAAGATCTAATTTGACTTGGAACAGAGTTTAAGAAAAGAAAGTAAATTTTTTAATCTTGTGATTCTAAATTACTAAAGTTATGTCAAATGTATCAAAATATTCTTTAATTATGTGGCTTTAAACATGCCACGTGGAAAGTTAAATTAAAGTGTTGTCAAAAAAAGAAAGATGTCATTCTTTCTTAAACAGACTAAAAAGAAAACTAGGTCATTCTTTTTTAAACGGAGGGAGTAATATTATATCTCATCTAATATGTTTCGATGGATCGGAAGTGGTAAGTAATTCTTCCTCTTTAACCATTGATTTGAAGTGGAAAATACATTTTTAATTAGAGATTTCAAGTTCGAGTCTCCATGAATATGGAGTCGCTTTTATTAGGAAGTGTTTTAGCCTTTACCCTTTAATATAAGACTTTCCAACGAATCCGAATTTTATCGGGTTCAAAGTGGGTACCAGATACAGAATTAAAAAAAAGGCTAAAATAAATAACGTTCAATGAGTTGATTATAATTTTTTGAAATTTTTTCTGAAATATCAAAATAGTTCATAATTTAAAATATAATAAAAATAAACATTAACTAGATGTTCAAATAGTAACTAAAATAAATAAATAAAAATAATTCATGTAATTAATAAAATGGCATGCTATGTTTTCATGTGATGTATTCCAAAATCCAAAGTCATCCAAATTGGAAAAGGTAAAAGGGAGAAGATCTTTTTACAAAATCACTTTCATATCCCATTACATGAAAGGCTACTTATCTCGATATATGCGTATATACATATATTTTATATATCAATTTATGTAATATATATATATTTTTTTGAAATTCAAAATATTACCTTTTGTACATATTTTGATTAAGCTAATCTAATTTAGGTTCGAAGAAGCTTTTTGCTTAATAGGTTTCATGTTACATCAATTCAAACTTACTCTATTTGTTTAATTGAGATCATATAATGCAATTATATTCTCTAATCCACTTGCTGTTTTTCTTTCTCTGTATTTTATTTGTCTAGTAGGTCAATTGCATGAATCTTCTAAAAATATAGTACTCCTTATGTCCCAAAGTTACGTACATTTTACATATTTTGAGAGTCAAATCGTTTAAGTTTGATAGAGAATTTGCGTATGGAATCTTTAGTATTTTTGAAATAAAATTTCTATATTTATAAACTACGTAAAAAATATTATAAGTCACAATAATTGATAATTCAAAATGTTTAAAGGATTTATGAAAAAATTACGATAAAAAATAGACTTTCTCAAAATCTAAAAAGTGTCACATAAAATGAAACGGAGGAAACATTATTAAAGAATTCAATACACACCTAATAATATTTTTTAAAAATCCGAACAACGCTAGGTGATTTGCCCGTACTCTTTGACATCAAAAGAATGGTATATCCAAGACACACGATATATAGGTACAATTTTTGGAGGTCTTTATTTTATATTATCAAGATTATGATAGAATGACAAAGTTTGGATTACGAAAATAAAATTGGTCAACTATAGTAAAATAAAATTTCTCCTTTGACAATAACTAGTGGAAATTTAATACGAGAATACAAACGTAGAAAACTAATCAATAGTACCTTTCTAATTAATCTCTGAAGCTAAAAACCAGCGATCAACCACTGCATGCATGTTAATATGGAACTTTCTGGAATCTTCATCTTCCTGCAATTATCAACGGCTCAGATCAATCAGTACTCCCTTCTTCGATACCAAATCAACGGCTCCTGTTGTTTATGAATAAAACTAATTTTCTGCAAAATTATTGAAGTTGTTAAGCTTGGCTATGGAGGACAATGGCCAATTGTTCTTGTAGATGAAATTTGGTTTGCTTTGCAATGAAGTTTTCTATGGCTTTCTGAAACTCTTCGTTGCTTAATTCGTCTACTTCATGAGCTGTCTCCGGCGATACAGAATCGCCGGGATTTGTGACTTTCCGGCATTTCTCTGTCTCCGATCTCCGGAATTTGACGGAAATTTCCTCCACGGTTTCCTTATTCAGCTTCTCCGATTGAGTTCTCCTCGGTGCTTTCGGTTTCGTCAATGCCTTGTTCATAACCGTTTCCAGTTCTTCGGAACCGAGTGATTTCTGATTTGTCACTGTGCTCTCTTCAAAAATAGTCTGTTTGTCTTCATACACAATATCTCGAGCTTCAATTCCCGGAACCAGAGAAGAGTTTCCGGACGAGAAATCAGCCGAAAACTCGGTGTTTTTGAGAAACGAGTCATAGAGAACTTCAGCTCCGGCAACATTCCGGAAAATCGAAGAGTCTCTGGAGTGGAGGCCGGACTTCAAGAGGAGAATGAGGACAATGAAGTTGCATAGGATGAAAATGAAAACAGGACTAAGTAGTAAACCGACAATTTGACGGAAATACTCGCCGGAAATCCTCACCGCAAAAGGCAAACGAGTGGAAATCCACAACAACAGAAGAACCACAAAGCAAAACTCAACAACACGAAAAACCTTCGCAACGCATTTCAAACTCCAGAGTTTCACAATCACCGTATTATCCTCCACTTTCACACCGCCAACAAAATCGCAAACATCCATCGACAAAAAAAAAAAGCAACAAAAATATGAAAAAAATAAAAATAGAACAATCCAGCACTAAAATTTCAAAAAATCCGTTCTCCGAGAACATACAGCATCATTCACAAGGTAACCAAACTGAAGAATCTAGAGTTTGAACCTCAAATACTGAAATTTTCCGAGCAAATACAACATCTACACAACGTGACGAAGCTGAAGAATCTGAAATTTGAATCTTCAAACAATGAATTTATCCGAGAAAATTTGAAAGGAAAATTGGAAAAAGCTGTAAAATTGATATGATACTTTTGGTTTTATTACTGAAAGAGGAGAGAAAAGGACTGAGGGTTTTTTGGATTTATTTGCAGCGGTGTAGGAAACGTTTCAGAAGAAAAGGATTTGGCGTTTTCTTATACAGTACGAGTCAAATGAGGAACAAAAGAATAGTACGGAGTTAAGAGTAACACCAAATATTATTTGATATTCGAAATTCACTCGTCCTATTAATATTGATTGGCTATGTTATATGCTATGATACACAGGAGTAGATTTTTTTTCAATGGTTTTTTATATTTGGATTTATTATACTTGAGCTGAGGGTCTTTTGAAAATAATTTCTCTAGTTATCTCTATAAGTGAGATAGCAATAAATTTTGCGTATCTTTTATCCTCTCAAAATTTTACTTACACGATTTTAATGGATATGTATATATTATTGTTGTTGTTGTAATGAGTTTTTTGATGAGAGATAGTAATGACAAATAGATGGATATGTTTGATTTGATCGTATTGAAAATGAATTTGATTGTAATCCACTCAGATAAATATAAGTAAAACTATAAATTGCATAAGGCATGAATCAAACAATATGGTCCTAATCCATTTTAATCTAAAGTACTTCTTTTTCCTCTGTCCCTAATTACTTGTTTACTTTTTTTTTTAGTTACCTCTAATTACTTGTCTATTTTAATAAATCAAGAAAGAACAATTTTTTTTACCTATTATACCATTAATTACTTTAGAAAAGGTAAAACTTTTTTTAAAATCTTAAGTTTTTAATTTATCTATTTCATAATTAATAGTGGTAAAATGGTAAATTCACTATATCAATCATTGTTTTCTTAATAAATGTGTCAATTTAAAAGTGGACAAATAATTAGAGATATAGGGGAGTATTTGATCTTTTGTTAATTGAGTTAGCTTTGCAAAATCTTTTGATTCTATAAATTGTGTTAGTTTTAATTTCAATTTATCAACTACTTAGTTTTATGGTTTTTATTTGAGCTGAAATTTTCTCTCTGAACACAAAAATACTATTCAGATTGAAATTCAAGGTCATTTACTCCCTTTGTTTAATAAAGAATGACCTATTTTCCTATTTAGCCAGTTTAAAAAAGAATGATTTCTTTCTTTTTTTTGTAACATTTTTTTAATGTGACATGTTTAAGACCACAAGATTAAAGGACAATACATAACTCTAATTTTGAACCACAAGATTCAAAAGTTTTCTTTATTTTCTTAAACTTTGTACCAAGTCAAACTAGGTCACTCTTTTTGAAACGAAGGGAGTATTAAAGATGAAAGAATTATAATCGTCCCATCATTTCTTTGATGTTAACTAAACACTAACATTAGGAGTACTAAAATATGTGAAAATGCTACCAAATAACTATTGATCATTTTCCTAATTACCTAATGTTGAATATTGTGAAATATTTAGTTTACCATTGGGTTACGTCAAGTATAACAACATGGAATGTTTGTTATTAAATTAAATATCCAAGAGGAAAATTTTCACATTATGGTGTTAATTTTTATTTTTGGGTATTAATCTACTTCATTGTGAGGTTTTATAGCCTTCCTCTAATCAAGGAATTATGAACTAATTCAGTTCATCTCCCTAGCTTTTTCAAACCTTTTGTATACCATTCATGCATGAAATAAAAGAGTATGGTATTCATGTCATAACTAGTTTCATCAAATATAAATTCAATAATGATTTTCGAATTTAAACTTTACATATTATAAATTCTACGATAGTGATAATCAATGTCAGTTTCTACTATGAATATTTAAACTACAACTATCGAGTTCGAAAGAATTAACTCATAATAAGTAATTTTCTTTTAGACCTTATAGAAACGGGTGATTTATAAGAATGATCTTAAGATCATGAGCCGTCTGGTATTTTTGACCTTGTTACTTTATGGATAAAACTTTAAATTTAACAAATTTTATTTTATAAGCAACACTTTTGACTTTGAAAATTTGTCCATGAGACAAAGGCACAAAGGGGGTCAAAAGTTGAAGAGCATTATCAAGATCATTGGGCGTAATTGAAGTGTATACATTAATATTGTTCTCTCAATCTTAATTTATATGATACAATTTAATATACATTAATATTGTTTCAACCTCAACTTATATGATATAATTTAAATTTAAATATCCTAGAAAATGTCACTCCCACCCCAAGTGCAGAGTGCTGACTGTCTTGCACAGTCCAATATCCATGGGATTTGGTCGGCTTGGGTCTTGTGTTGTGTGAGTTGCTTGTTACTCATATTTCCATATTATAAAATAATGTTATAAATTAGTATTATTTTGGTTAATTTTATGTAGCATATATTTTACTCTTTGATTTATTAAAACTTATTTTTGTTTTACTTTTAATATAGCGATTATAATTATAAATATTAATAGGCATGTTTGGAGATGAAATCAAACTTTAAAATATATGGTTCAGGATTCTAGTATTTCTTAGTTATTGAATTCTAAAATAAGTAATTTATACGTATCAAGTTGATTTCTTAAGATAAAATAGTGTTTGGGCGAAAATTATTGGGATCAACCGATCAAACTCATACCATGATTTCTAGCTCTGCTCTGCATATTTAGACAGTAAAATTTCAAAATAGTAATTCTTTTTTAAAAAATAAAATAAATCATGCATAATCAAATATCATTACCTAAATTGAGATGGAAGCGATATATCTTTAAAATCTTTTTGCACAATTTGTCTCTCAATTACAAAAAGAGAAAAATACTTTATTAGACATACATTCATATCATATATACTAATTTTACCTACACTTTCAAATAATTATGTATCTTACTATACTAATTAAGAGTTTCCTATCATATATTGAGGAATATACACCTAGCTACATATATTTTTGCTACCAGATACACTAAAATAGGGAGAGAAGTGAGCGAGATGGGGAGGGAGGTGAGCGAGATAGAGAGGGAGATAGTCATGCAGTGTCCCAGATATATGTGAATCACACTAGATACGTGTATCTGTATGTATCTAGTGTGATTCGTATGTATCTAGGAAACTAGATACATAGAAGAGTAGCAAGCGAGATGGGAGATTGAGAGAGAATCAAATGAGATATGTCTATGTATCTCAAATATATGTGAATTCACTTGAATATAATATATCTGGAACACCTACTAAAAAACAAATAATCAACTATCTCTATCACTCAACATGCCAACTGTGAAACCTTTTTTTATCCTTAATGAAAAACCAAAAACAAAGAGATAAGAGAATTATTTATAAAAATTGAGAGGCCAAATTGGAAGAAAAGATGTAGAATGTTGAGGTGTGGGCAGACAAAATAACAAGAAAACATTGGTCCCAACACAACACTTAGTATAAATTATCACTTTCCAACAATACAAAGAATTGCAAGGACTCTGACCATTCGCCCCCACTACACAAATAAAGCAACAAATTATAGTTTTTATATATTTAGGAATTCATAGTTTAATGACTTTTTTTCACATTTTGGTGTCACGAAATATGAATTCAAAATTTTAAGTGTTTTTTATGCATATTTTCATTGATTTTTTGAAAGTTAATCAATCGATTCCATTGAACCCCAAATTTAGTTAGGTCGGGTCTCACAGGCTTAGTGAGTGGCATTCGTTGCATTTTTACGAATAACATTTCTTTCTTCAGCGTTTCAATGTCACGAACAAGTGAAGATTTTAAGCATTTTTTTATGTGTGTTTTAGTCTATTGTTTTTTCAAAAGTTAAACGATAGACCCCGTTGGCTCCAAACTTATATATATAGTATTAATTGGTTTATTCTTGTAGTTTTTACGTTTCATGTTTTTCGATTTTTGTGCTTCTATCACATTAATTCGATGTAATATATATATATATATATATATATATATATATAATAAAATCGCATTAATATGCTGATGTAATTTGCTTCTTTTAGAATTCAGTGTAACTCGATTTGTTACCAGATGTCTTATCTTCTTCATTGTTGCTTTTCCTTATTTAAATACTTTTTTTAGTTGATAGTTTACCAGAAACATTCTCTATCTCCATGAGTAGGGTTATAGGGTAAAATTTGAGTATACTTGATCCTTGGATATTTAATACAGTTCAAATGTGACACCTTTTCTTTTGATCAATCTGATAAGACGTTTGTTATTAGTGAATCTCCACTCTTTTCTTTATTTGATATAAAGATATGTCAATTTATTTCGCCACAATTTTTGTTGATTTTTGAGTCAATATATATATACCTCGAAATCAACGTCTTTGCATTTGCTGCGGGGAAAAGGAAGAGACGAATCAATTTATACTATAATGGTCGATAGAGAATAATAATTATACTAGTGGATTATGTCTAGCCAATATTCTTTAAACTTTGGTTAATGATAAGATTTTATAATTATAAAAATATTATAATATATTTAAAATTATGAATTTTAACAGATCGTTTGATGATTAGCATGTTAAAATTATAATTAATTAGGAATAAATTATTAGATTATATTATCCCATATTTGGTGTGTATAATTTTTTGACATAGAGATTAACAATTACGAGATTGATTATACCGAGATTGTGATCTTAATTTTGTACCACACCTTACATGAAATAGCAATCCTTATACTAAACAACAAAATATTTGTTATAGAGAAGAAATTGATCCTAACAAAAATTAAATGATCGAACTGATGAATCGCAGTCTAGGTGAAGTTTATCACTATATAAGGA